GCTGTCAGTGGAGGGAGGGGAAGCGATGAGCCACGGGGAGCTGGGCGGGAGCAGCCTGGACCCGCAGCTTGGTGGGTACCGGTGCGGCTCAGCTGATGCTTGTGGAGCATCTGGCCTATTCTCTCCCTTTCTTGCAAGCCCCCAAACATCTCAGATATACAGAAAACAAGGCGATGTTTTCTGCTGCAGTTCCCCGAGGGGTGATTCTGTCATCCTTCTAAACAAGGAGAGATGGGTGCAAAAGGAGGCCCTGCAAAAGCGATTCACCACAAGCTGAGCTCCCTCCACTGTACGGGCCACTTGGGTTTCTCACAGACGCAGTGAGGGAGACAGAAATCCTCCAAGCACCCCCATCCAACCCGCCTGGGGGGGCTGAGCTAGGGTGGGGTGAATGAGGGCCTGTAGAAGTGTAACAGCAGCTCGGAAGGGAGCAGGTGGGGTTGGTAAGTCCCACCTGGCATATCCGTTATGTAGGGAGAGGGATGGGTGGGTGGGTGGATGGATGGATGGATGGATGGATGGATGGATGGATGGATGGATGGGTGGGTGGACGGATGGACGGACAGACAGATTCCTGTTCAGGTCATGCATGCAGAACCCCTCTCACCACCACATAACCTTGTCACTGCCTCTCGCTGAGGCTGGTGCTGGTCCCAGCACCCATCCCCTTCCCAGGATGCTCAAATGGGACCCGGGGTCTGCAGGGACCTTGTGGCTCTGGTTGTGTGGCCAGGGCACGGCCACACTCAGTCCTGACCTGTCAGCTTCATTAATCATGGAGGATTCATTTGGGCACTTCCCGGCTGCTTCTTGTGCCTTGTTTTCAGTGCAGCTCCCCTGTGGGAGGCTGCAGGCTGGTTACAGCCCGTTTGCTCTCTAATGCGGGGAGGTGATGGGCCAGGGTCCATCCTTGGGGGGTTTCAGGGCAGAGCACCCCGCCAGCCCTCCTCAGAACCCACCAGCTGCACACACAACCCTGCTCTTTTTGCAAGTGGTTTTCTGGGTGCTGCAGCACCCACCTGGATTTCCAGCCTTGTGGGAGACTAGATCCCATCTCTATCTTCCCATCTTTGACCTGGAAAACCCCAGCGGCTCAGCTTCGAGGCTCCTTCTGCAGCAGAAGGAGCTATTTTAGCTCCCTCTGCTCTGCCCAAGTTGCTGTCTGCCTCGTTTAGCCCAGCTGCCTCCTTGAATGATGATCCCCCCCCAGCTCCTCTTACGCATCCCGCTATTTTTAGGCTTTGCCCACAGACCCTGCGACGGGTTTGCACCCCCGAGGGCAGACGGCTTTGCTGAGCAGAAGGGAAAAGAGCTGGTGGGCTCGACAGGAGCCGTTGCCTCCCCATACCACGCTCCTTCCTTCCCCGCAGGAGGGGTTGCATTTGCCTCCAAGAGCAAAGCCGTGCAAATAGAAGTCCTTCTCTTGGCAGGGAGCAGATGAAACATTCAGGAAACTTTCCAAGCAGCATCTGATTTTGACTTCTGGTGCTGTGGATTTGTTGAGGGGTTTTATTCATTTTCTGCCACGCCAGGGTTATTTTGGCTCTTCTAGAACACCTGAGGATGCGGCACTTCATCGACAGAGCCCCACAGAATGCTTCTGTCAAAGGCAAGTGGCAGGCAAAGGGATGGAGAAAAGAAGGTGCCCACACATGTGGTGTGTCCCAGCGCTTCCAGCACTGGTTCATGCCAGGGCATTAGGAAAGGGTCACAGACAATGATGGGACCCACGGTGGCATTTCAGTTGGTCCCCATCCCCGCAGGATCGATCGCAGATGCTAAGCTCCAGGTCTGAGTGATATTTGCTTTAAAAGCAAAACCCTGCACAAATTAAAAAAAAAAAAAACCTGCTTGTGTAGCATCAGGAGGTGAGAAAGTGGCACACGAGCCTCGATACAAGCCAGGGAAAGCCCATGCATCCAGCACCTGGGGCTGCTCATCTTGCCAAAAGCCACCCTCAGCCCAACTAAAAACCATTGTGGCCATGTGCCCCACTGCTCGTTCTTCAAATTTGGGGTAAAAATGTGGTAAAAAGGGAAGTCAAGCACCTGGGAGGGGAAATAAAAATTGTAGCTTCCCCTCCATGCATCACAGCCCTGAATTGTCACAAGCAGGACTCAAGCTGGCTGCCAAACTGGAAATTATGTCAATATATAAATATTTATATATATTTATATTTATGTTATCGTTAGATCCCTGGCAGAGCTGCCCTGGTGACTCGGCTGCCCGGCTCACACCTCGGCCCTGCGGCCATTGGCACAAGACGCAGCCCTCCGCAGTGCCGGAGCCTCGGACCACGGCAGGACAAGGTGAGCAGCACATACAGAGGCTCAGTGTCCTCCTGAGCTCCTGAAAATCTTTGGGGAGAAATCATCTCCCCTCTTTTCCTCCTCCATTAACCTCCAGAGATTCTCACGTATTCTGACTCGAGTCCTGCCAGAGCAGATTCATAGCTCCTGCATGTTATTTTTATGGGCATTTTAATTAAAACCAATAAACTCCGGAGAGGAAGAGGGTCTTCCCATGGTGAAATATGTTTTGTCGAGTTTGCAGCCTCTGAGTAAATCAGGATGCTGCCGTTAGCAGCAGCAACTGTAAATCTCCCTGGACAGACCCCAGCTCGCCAGGCAGATGAGCAACATGAATTTTCCTTTTTGACAGCCTCAGCATCGCTCTCGCCACCTTGATTTGATTTAACTCCTCTTCTGCACAGGGGCGGTTTGAAGGGGATGGGAGAGGTAGCATCCCCCCGTTATCCAGGGTGGAGAAGAGAAAATACAAGCTAAGGCAATGCCACGGAGGACTTCCTAAGAGAAGCAATCCCCATAGGGGAGCAGGACTCGAGCCAAGGTAAAGTGGCACCGATAAAACTCAGGGTGCAGAGAGAAGTCGCAGCTCCCGGGGCACCCTCACTCCTGGCTGGGGACCGACCAGCACCAGCAGTGGGGGTCAGGACTTGCAGGAGCCACCACTTCCCTTCACCTGCTGCATGCACGGCCCTTGGGCTCCGTGAACCGCAGTGGGTGATGCTCTCCCCTCTGATGTGACCTCCCTGCCTCAGTTTCCTCAATTTTGGAAACTACATCCATGGCAGAAGACTGGCTCGGCAGGCAGAGCAGCAACAACCGAGCGCAGGCGGATGAACAGCAAAGCCCTTTAAAGATTTTCCATTTGTTTTATGTATCCGCTGTGTTTATTTTTAACATTCCAGCTGAAAAAAATAAATAAATGCCAGAACTGAGCCGAGAGGACATGTTTGCTGGAACCTGCCAGGATGATTAGTCCTTTGCAGATGACTCCCTGGAAAAGGGTCAGTGTGGGCTCTCCGGCCATGCCGGGAGCCAAGCGAAGGAATAACCCCCCTTCCAAAGAGCTCCTCAGCCACACTAAAAGCTATTTTGTGCTCCCTGACCTGACGTTTCCCTCCTGCCGGGAGCGATCGGCAGCCAGACTGCGTCAGAGCTGCACACAGCAGAGACTTGCCACCTTACTCTGGGCCTGGGAGGTTGTTTTCACCCCGGGAAGGTGTTTAAACCCCATGTCCTGGAGGACCCACACGTGCAGGACAGAGCCCTGCCTCTTTGCAAAACCATCACAGGAGTGGAAACACCCTCCAGAGAGGCTGGTGCACTGTAGGAGGATGCAAAGTGCAGGACCCAGGGCAGATACAGCACATTAAAGCCATCCCAGTTCCTGCCCACACCCATCCCATCAGCTCGCCGGGACCACGGCCACCGAAACCCTCGCTCGGGGAGGGCAGAAACCCACCGCACGTCGTTGCTGCCTCCTCAGTCAGTGGCCAAGGACCTGTTTACCATATAAAACCATCAGATGAATGAAAAGCTCTTAATTCCCTCCTAAGCATTTTGATGAGGCTCTTGATGAAGTATCTGGATGCTTTGACACTGCAGGAGTTTTATGCTGGCAGAGTGCTACGCAGGCTGAAAACTCCATCTCCAGGGTTGAACAAGCTGCTGGCCTTTGCTCCAAGTCCTGTGTCCCCTGCTCTGTCTCTCCTGAGCCAAAAGCACCCAAAATTGCAGCAAACCATCCTCCCTGGCTGAGTCAGCTCTGTCCCAGGGGCACAGGACAATGAATGAATCCACCCCCAAAGCGAAGAGGTGATGGAGGCACCCCAAACATGGGTTTCCACAGCCCCCGCTGTGGTCTCCAGAAAAATAAGGCTCTTGCCTCTCTGCTTTGCAGACCCTGAAAGGGGGGACCTGCCAGAGGAGGGGGGGGTCCTGCCCCAAGGATGGTAAGCATCATTGATAAGGGGAGGGTGACCCTCAGCATCCCACCAAGCCCAGCTCTGCTGAGCAGGCGGTGCTGATGGGTCTGCGTTTGCACCCCCACCCTGCAGCATCCCCCTAAATCCCTCTCCCTCCAGCAGCATCCCCTTATCCCCCCCAGCAGCCTTCTAAGTCCTCCCAGCATCCCTCCTTATCCGCTCCAGCAACCCTTGTAACCCCCCCAGCACTCCTACCCAAGTCCCTTTTCAGCATCCCCCAAACCCCTCACCTCACAGCAGCCCCCTAGATCCCCTCCGCCCGGCCAAATCTCCCCCCCTAGCATCCCTCCAAAGCCCCCCAACGTACATCAGCTCTCCATTTCCCTCCCCCAAGCCCCCACCTCACAGCATCCCTCCTCAATCTCCCTGCAACATCCCCCCAAACCTCCTCAGCACCCTCCAAATCCAGCCAGCACCCCCAAAACCCCTTATCCCACAGCACATAGGGGAAGAGGAAGAGGGGGAGGAAGGACACAGGGCGGGGAGGCATCAAAGAGACCCCACCTTTGGTTTGGGGACAAGGAAGCTGTTTGTCCCCCCCTTCTTCCAGACAAAGAAAACCCGAAAGAGCCATAGCGCCGAGATACACCGCACCCCCCCCTCCTCAAGCCCGGGGCCCCCCGGGATGCTGGGGGCCGCCCCTGCAGCCCTCG